AAAAAAAAAAAAAAAAAAAAAAAAAAAAAAACACGAAGAAGATGATGTAGGAGAAAGAAATAATTCTATCGACAACCAATATGTTGTCCAACACTGAAACGTTATTATATGTATTTTTATTTATGTTTATGCCATTTGTATAAGTGCGTAGAAAAAAAGAAAAGCAAGTGAAAAAGTTCATACGTTGGAGATGGAATCACCAAAACCAGGTTCCGGTGGCGGTGGTGCTGTCCGTATTGGTGCCAGACCAGCAGTTGGCGTTATATTGTAGACGCTACTGCTTGTAGTCGGTAACTGTTGTAGTTGCTGTAACTGCTGCAACTGTTGCTGTTGCTGTTGTTGTGGTTGCGATTGTTGCTGCTGCTGCTGTTGCTGTTGAGCAGTCGCAACTGACGAAAAAGATGACGGTGTTGCTGATGACGATGATACTGGTGTTGATGATAAAGTTGTAATTTTTGGTGTCTCTTGCTGTATGTAATTGTCGGTAACTTTATGCTGTTGTTGTTGATAGTAATCATCGCTATATACCGTTCGAGTAGTTTCAGCACCTTTAATTAGAAGTATTAAAAAACAAAAAATACATATACATATACCAGTTGAGAAATATTGTCAAAAATTTCTTCCTTTTTCACAAAAAATATGTCTGAACACACATCTATGTATTGATATATTAATCGTATGGAAATACTATGAGAGGAGGAACGACAAATATATATTTCAGTCCAAGGAAAAAATAATAGTTATAAATAGTTATAAAATTCGATATATTTCAGCCAAGCGTCACAGTACCAGAAAGTTAATTGCCGCAAAAAAGAAAAATTTTTTCCTTTTATATGACAAACCAACAAATGAATTGTTATATTAATATACTATTTGTTAACGCTAATCTTTCCGCGTCACTTTTTCGTCCCGTTTACTCATTTACGTCTCAAAATGCCTATAAGGGCACCGAACGAATTACGCTTCATCTTCAGCTTTGTTCGCATGATTACTGGTTGATTATTTGACACTTCTTTTGTTGTTTCTTCTCGTTTAAAAGTTCTAAATAACTACAACGGAAAAGAAAAACCATACTAAATTCTGTAGCAGCAATGGAATTAATAAAACTACTTAACTGCTGGAAAAGTCATGGTACTGACGAGAGTTGTTAAAAGTAAAACTTTTTAGAATTTTTCGACAATTTTTTGCTAAAAACTCTAAACTGTAGAAGTTCGCCTTTCCGTTTTGAAACTTCTCTAAAATACAACACATATATTTTTAAAATGCCACAATTGTTAGGAAGCCACTTTTCAGCTAA